TTCAGGGAAAAGTCCAAGAAGGGCAATAGCTGGGTCAAATGGTGGTTCCATTCCCAGCTTTCCCAGGAGTCTCCATACTGTTTTCCAGATTGGCCGCACCAGTTTGCAGTCCCACCAGCAATGTACAAGAGTACCCTTTTCCCCACATCCTCTCCAGCACTTGTTGTTGTTTGACTTCATAATGGCTGCCAATCTTACTGGAGTGAGATGGTATCTTAGGGTGGTTTTGATTTGCATTTCTCTGACTGCTAGAGATGGTGAGCATTTTTTCATGTACTTGTTGATTGATTGTATGTCCTCCTCTGAGAAGTGTCTGTTCAGTTCTTTGGCCCATTTGTTGATTGGGTTATTTGTTTTCTTATTGTTTAATTTTTTGAGTTCTTTGTATACTCTGGATATTAGGGCTCTATCTGAAGTGTGAGGAGTAAAAATTTGTTCCCATGATGTAGGCTCCCTATTTACCTCTTTTATTGTTTCTCTTGCTGAGAGAAAACTTTTCAGTTTAAGTAAGTCCCATTTGTTGATTTTTGTTATCAACTTTTGTGCTATGGGTGTCCTATTAAGGAATTTGGAGCCCGACCCTACAATATGTAGATCGGAGCCAACTTTTTCTTCTATCAGACGCAGAGTCTCTGATTTGATATCTAGCTCCTTGATCCATTTTGAGTTAACTTTTGTGCATGGCGAGAGGAGGGGATTCAGTTTCATTTTGTTGCATATGGATTTCCAGTTTTCCCAGCACCATTTGTTGAAGATGCTATCCTCCCTCCATTGCATGCTTTTAGCTCCTTTATCAAATATAAGATAGTTGTAGCTTTGTGGATTAGTCTCTGTGTCCTCTATTCTGTACCATTGGTCCACCCTCCTGTTTTGGTACCAGTACCATGCTGTTTTTGTTACTATTGCTCTGTAGTATAGTTTGAAGTCTGGTATCGCTATACCGCCTGATTCGCACTTCCTGCTTAGAATTGCTTTTGCTATTCTGGGTCTTTTATTTTTCCATATGAATTTCATGATTGCTTTCTCTATTTCTACAAGAAATGCCGTTGGGATTTTGATTGGCATTGCATTAAACCTATAGAGAACTTTTGGTAATATCGCCATTTTGATGATGTTAGTTCTGCCTATCCATGAACAGGGTATATTTTTCCATCTTCTAAGATCTTCTTCTACTTCTCTTTTTAGGGTTTTGTAGTTTTCATTATATAAATCTTTCACCTCTCTTGTTAGGTTGATTCCCAAGTATTTTATTTTTTTTGAGGATATTGTGAATGGAGTGTTTTTCCTCATTTCCGTTTCAGAAGTTTTGTCGCTGATATACAGAAATGCCTTTGATTTATGCGTGTTGATTTTATATCCTGCCACTTTGCTGAATTCATTTATTAGTTCTAGTAGTTTTTTTGTAGACCCTTTTGGGTCTTCTAGGTATAGAATCATGTCATCTGCAAATAGTGATAATTTAAGTTCTTCCTTTCCTATTTTTATGCCTTTAATTTCTTTCGTCTGTCTAATTGCTCTGGCCAGTGTAAACCTTATTGGTTTACCCCTGAATGTAATCTGCCTCCTTTCTCTTGTAGCTTTTAGTATTTTCTCTTTGTTCTGTATATTGGATATCTTCATAACAATGTGTCTTGGCATTGGTCTACTGTGATTTTGTGTGCTCGGTGTCCTGTATGCATCTACAATTTGTATATCCGTTTCCTTTTTTATTTCTGGAAAGTTTTCTGTAATTATTTCTTTCAGCAGGTTACTCATTCCCTTGGTTTGAATCTCTGTACCTTCTTCTATCCCGATGACTCGTAGGTTTGGTTTCTTTATGTTATCCCATATCTCTTGGATGTTTTTCTCATGGTTTTTAACCAGCCTTTCTGAGTTGGCTAGGCTCTTTTCAAGATGATATATTTTGTCTTCATTATCTGATGTTCTGGCTTCTACTTGCTCCACTCTGTTAGTGATACTCTCAATTGAGTTTTTAATTTGGTTTATCGTTTCCTTCATTTCTAGAATTATTGTTTGGTTTTTTCTTATAATTTCAATCTCCTGATAAAGATGCTTAACTTCTTCTTTTATCTGTCTATGTAATTCATTTTCAAAGTGTTCTTTCACTGTTTGGATTTGCTGTCTCGTATCTTCTTTAAGGTTCCATTCCATCTGTCTAAGGTATTCCTTGAGTTCTTTATATGACCATTTTTCTGCTGACTCTAGGTCCTCCTGAATATTTAGGCTGTCCTTCATTGTTTGTACTCCTTTTCTTCCTTGCTTTTTTATGCTGCTCATGTTACTTCTTGTTCTGTTTGACTGCTGAGTTACTGTTTACTCTTATAGATTTATTTGATGCTTGAGAGGAAAGATATTAGAAGGGAAGGGAAGAAGTCACTAAAGAGAATGAGAGTAGGCAGGTAGAATTCAAGGAAGGGGGAATAAGAAGATTGAAAAGAAATGAAAAGACAAAAGAAACAAGAATAACAAAGATTAGATAATAAAGAAAGAAAGAAAAGATGAAAAAAAATTTTAACAAAAATAATAGTGATAATAAAAAATGAAAATTAAAATTAAAAAAATAATAATAGTAAAATTAAAAAATAGAAACATTGAAAAAAATTAAAGAACAACAACAAATAAAAATTGAAAATGAAAGAAAAAGAAGAAAAAAAAGAAAAAAAAAGAAAAAGAAAAGAAAAAAATGATAATAATAATAATAATAAATGCAGTCCTAGAGTTCTATTAACTTCTCTTCCAGTAGGTGGAGCTGTGCCCACTGGGCCAAGCTTCTCCTGTCAATAGGTGGGAACCATTCACTGTGCAGCAGCTCTTTCTCCTAGACTGGGCGGGTCTCCAATCCTGAGTGTCTAGGGCCTTGTCTTGTGTTTCCTCAAGCCAGGCCGTGCTCACCTGTGGCACTCACCACAATACTGGCTACACGCCAGGTCTGCTGCTCCTGGGAGCCCTGTTTTCATGAACACCTGGGCTCACTCTCCCTGTTTGCCTCCCTCAGACCCTAAGTTTGTAGAGCTTGGGGCTGAGATCCCCCAGCGAATTTGCTTGCCCTCCTGTAGCCACGCCCCCGGTAGCTGGTGCAAGAGACCTCAGTTGTCAGCACTGGTGGGAGCGGTAGCCGGGAGTTCCGCGCCGTGAGTCCTGCGCCACTCCTGATTCCCTGGGTCTGGTTATTGCGTTCACAGGAGAGCTGGGAGTGGCCCTTAAGGTTTCCCCGCTGTGTGGAGAGAGATGGCTAGGGGATTACACACCTGTCGCGCTGGTTTCAATGCAGTTATCTCCTCCGCCCGTGATGCCATTTCTCTGCCATGGTGATATCCCATGCAAATGGTGACCGTTTGTTCCCTTTGCCGGATGACCAATGCAACGGGGTGGGTCCTGACTGTCTCTCCCAATCCCCGTTTCAGTCCTGTGGCCACTGCCTATGAAGGCTCGGTTGGCTTTTACCTCTGTAAGTTCCTAAGGGCCGGCCAATTATTTCAGCGGGATCGTTAGTGCTGAGTCACATGAAGCAGGCGAACCGGAGCTTAATTGCCTCCGATTCGGGCTCAGTGTGTGTGTTCTGAGGGGCCCAGCCTGTACACCCCAGATCCACGTCAGCTCAGCATTGCCTAGTGATCCTGAGCAAACAGCATTTAGACAGTTTACGGCTCCCTATGCCCGCGCAGTTGAAGATGTCAGAGACTTGATCTCTCTGTGCCTGCCACCATGTTACATCTCCTCAGTGATATTCATGTTGCCCTTACAGCTTCCTGGTATAAGCAAGTTCTTGGGATTATACAAACTGCTGCTTCTGTTTCCAGTCCAGATTTCTAGAAATGAAACTCTGGGCCGCGCTGACGAGCGTCCGCGCTTGTCTGCGACCGTAGCAGAGCCGCCCTGGCCTCTGCAGCTCTTCAGCCCGGTGCCAGGCCCCAGGGGCCCAAGCGGCTGCCGCCGCGGCTCTCCGTCCCCCTCCTCCGGAGCACGGGTCCCCTGGCAGGGGGGTGCAGAACGACCCCAGAGCAGGCTCTGCCCGAAGGTGCAGCGGCGAACAGGCCACAGAGACGCTCGAGGCTGCAGTCCAGCCTTCGGAGGACAGGGCTCGGCACGCAGCCCAGCTCCAACCTCTAGGTGCCGCTGCCGGACAGTGTATACAGAGCCATCAAGACAGCAAGCAGAAAGCCGGTTCTGAATTCTTAAGGTGATTGATTTCTAAGGTAATAAATCCATGCAGGTAACACAGTCTGTTAAAAAAGTAAAAACAAAACAAAAAAAAACCTTTTCATATTGATTGTATTAGTTACATATATGTCAAAACTCATCAAATTGCATGGTTCAAATATGTGCATTTTATTGTACTTCAATTTTACCTCATTAAATCTATAGAAAATAAAAAGAAAAAAAAAGAAAGGGAGGTATTGATAGAGTTATGTTAAGGACTGGTACTGGTCACAAAGAAGGCACTCAAATAAATATTGGCTAAATGAAAACTCAATTATTTTAATATTGTCTTAAATTTTTGTTTTATCTCAATGTTCTCATTGGTATGTTAAATAGTTGAAGGTAAATACACTCATATTAGTACTGCATGTCCACAGTACTAAAAAAGTTTGGACATATGTATATAATAAATACTTGTTGAAAGGATCAATGTTGAGAGAAAATTAGTATATGACTTTATTGGAAACAAAATGTATTTTAAGAATAGCAATTGTTGATATTAATATATAAAAAATGCACATTTAAAAAATATTATAGGTTTCACCAAATTCCTAAAATATTATTATGACTTTTGTTAAGACTATTAATATACTTTAGTTAAATTTATGGCTAATAACATTTTATATTTTCAAATGTATTTATAACTATTAACCCTAGGAATCCATATGTAAGATATTAATGAGTGGTGTTGATAAGTTAGTTTACATTAATGAGCTCATTATTCATTATGAAAAACAATTTTTCAAAGTTTATGAGTTGTATGATTAAAATATGCTTTTGTTGTGTTTGAATCTCCACAGCTCAGTCCATTTATAAGACATTCTGTCCTGAAGAGAACATTCAATGTTACTCTGCTAAATTCTTTCCTGACTAAGAGAGAAAATTCTCCTACTACAGAACAAAAAGCCAAAAAAAGAACAACCAGGAGGCAAATAGAAGCTTCTAATGGTGAGTGTGCCTATACTCACTGAATCATATAGTTGCTATGTATTTACAATACTAAATTAACTGTCATTCTTATTCATATAATTTTTCTGTTTTCCAAATAGTATATTTACATCCCTATTAGAGAGATTGGCTATGTTTATGACCCTGAGAAGTAACTAACACATTTTAACAAAGGATAATTTACATAATTCTAGAAATAAGTGCTGATCTGATATTTATAAAGTCTGTTTTTCATTTTGCCTTTGATCCCAAGATGGAAGAGTTACCTTAATGAGGTGTGACAGCCTTTTAATCAACATACTTTTTGAATATAAACAAATAAAAATTTTATGTTATGCTTTCATTAATTATTCTGGAATTGCATCACATTGTAATATTTAGGCACTTTTTTTTGCCAAATTATTCGATCAAGAAAATTTGGACTAAGGGTAGATATTTTCATATAAAGAACTAATAGATACTGAACTATGAGTTAAACATTAAGTATATCATAATGACTTTAGGTTTTGATTTTTTTTTGGAAGATGGTATGGAACTTAAACAATATGATGCTATTGTATTCCAGAGATTCCTTCTCATTTCAGTTATCTAATCAATGAAATAGTATTGAATTTTTGTAATCTACCATGATTAGATTAATTACTAGAGAACTAGATTCTAAACAAAATTATACATTAAAGCAATAAAATATGTTTTGTGTCTTATATATCATTAAACTATTTATTGGAATAATAGATCAACTTTATATACTGGAGATGCCATCTAAGTTTATTCTTGCTACAGATAAGAACCACTGTTATTAACAATAGTAGTCACTAGCCATGTAAGACCACTGAGTAATTAAAATGTGAGTATATTTCAAATTGACATATGCTCTAAGTTACCAGATTTTGAAGATGGAGTTTTATAAAAAGATATAAAATATCTTATTAGTAATATTTTGTATTTATTACATGTTAAAAATATTTCTGATATACTGGGTTAAATAATTTTTTTATTAAGATTATATACATTTAGCTGGGCATGGTAGCACATGCCTAGAATCCCAGCTGCTCAGGAGGCTGAGTCAGGAGAATTTCAAATTCAAAACCAGTCTCAGCAATTTAGCAAGACCCTTAGCAACTTAGTGAGAACCCTGTCCCAAAATTTTAAAAAATCAAATAAAAAGGAGGGAGGCTCTAGGGATATGGCTCAGTGATTAAGCATCCCTTGGTTTAATCCCTGGTACCAAATAAATAAATAAATAAAAGTTTATATATACTTTTTATTCTATATGATCAATAGAAAGCATAACATTTTTCTATGGCTAAAATCATATTTTTGTTAGTCAGTGACAGTCTAGAACTACCAAGTTTAGGAGTAGTGAATTTATCAATAAATTCGATAGAAAAACAATGTCTTTATTTCCTTTCCTTTCCCTTCCTTCCTTCCTTCCTTCCTTTCTTTCTGGATATTTTTGCTAGATAAATAATTCCAGGTTGGCACCAATTGTCTTTCAGCATTTTTTAGATATTAGTGTATTATGTTCTGCTTTCTGATGAAATATTTTTTTCTTTAAAGATTGTGTTTTTATTATCTGTTTGTATAACTTTTCTTTATAAATTAAAAAAATCAGTTTGCACTAATGTTCTAGGATTTTGCCTTCTGTCTCAGTGCTCCCCAATGTTTGTTAATATTCTGACTCATGTGGGTTGATGTCTTTTTATCAGTCATGGAAAATTCTCACTTATTTTCTTTTAAAACTTTTTTTTTATAATACCCTTCCCTCCTAGTATGAAAATGCAGTTACAGGTTCTAAATCCTTTACCATGTCCTATGTATCTCATGTTCTTTTGTATATTGTCACTCTACTTTTCTGTTTGTATTTCAATCTTTTTATTCTCCTCCTGACATGCCTAATAAATTTGATCAAATGTTGCACATTGCTTATGAAAAATTACAATTTGATTCTTTGCCTCACACTGCCTCCAGACAGGATATCCTTTTGCTGTCTCTCAGGTACCTTAAATGTGACAGATCCATTTTTCTAGAGTTGGATTGTGTTTACTGAGAGCTAGATTTCCCATTTTTTTAGAGCTGATGTAATTCTCATTACCCCTATTCCTAGGTTGTAATCTTTGTAGATTCTATCAAAAAGTCAGGGATAGTCACTAGAGCATCTCTTGCAATTTCTTTTTCATCACCCTTTGAAACTCTAAGTACTCTGTCAGGCTGCCCAAATCTTTAGCTGCCACTTACGATGATGCTACAAGTTAGCTTTTTGACCTCATACCAAATAACATTTGGCAAATACCTTGAGGATCCCAAATGATACAATGTCAAGTTCCCTCCATGTTTTCCCCTTCTCTGTAATCTGGCCTGCTCAAATCTTACTTTCTTTTTGTCTCTATTCATCCTGAGCATGCCAAAATGTCAGGTTAGATTTCTACCAACTTTGTGTTTGTCTCATACTTTTCATATTGTACTATTTAGGAAGTTATTCCTCAAGCACAAAATAAGGCTCACTTCAGTGTTGTTCCCTCCTCACCTTTCTCACCAGGTTCCTGACCTTTCAAGACCAGGCATGCTGATGGCATGCTGAAACACCCATTCACTTAAATAGATTTAGGCAGAAATCATTTCTCTAATTTTTTCAGTAATATACTCTGCAATATATTACCCTCTGCTACATCTGAAATTCCCTCTTTATCACAATTTATCAAACTCTTTTCTTTTATCTATCAAATAATTCCTAAAAATCTTATATCTTCAGTGAACATTTTCAACTGGAGCAGAATATCTTCTAGACAATGTATCCTGACACATAACCACTTACTCATCATCCCACTGAAAGCACTTGTCCTTTTTATAAGTGCTACTGGGAATGGAATCCAGGGCCTCATGCATACTGGAGCAAGCACGTGTACTTCATAAGGAAATACATTTACTTGTTGAATTTATTTGCATATTTATTAGTTCTAAGAATTATTATTGTCACATTATAAACCAAAGCAATACATCAAGGCTATGTGTTTAATTATTTAACTATTTTTACATGGTGTTATACAAAAACAGTTCCTTCCAAAAGGGTTTAGCATTCCAGATATGCCCACATCCTGAACTCTCTGTGAAGAAAGGCTTCAGAAGGCAAAGCCCTCTATTTAATTTTTCCATTATACATGACGGAGACACCTTTCTATCTTTTCTATATGTACACATGCCTATCATTACTATTGGAGACTCAAAAAAAAAACCTACTAGATTTGCATTCAGAATTGTTCTGCATTTCAGTAAATATAGTGCCCTTTTTGAGGCTCCCTTTTTTAATTAACTTTCATGAGAAACAATTTTATTCCACAATTAGCAGTTTAATGCTTGGCTGAGCTACTATACTAACTCAAAATAAAAGTAAATGAGTTGACATGTTCAGATGACTGCTATCAGCTTAACTCAAGTTTGCATGAATGAAGAGGGAAAAAGTTAGATAACAGAAGAGTGTGTGTTGCATGATTGAAAATGGGGAGAATCACCATCTGAACAGGAAAATCATGTCAGATAGCAACAGTGATGTCACCAGAACAAATTCTCTAGACTATGTAGGTTTACCTTGTGTCAAGTCAAATTTTCTTCAATGTTCCTAGTCACAGAAGAAACCAGCATAAACTATTTTTTTCATATGCATGAAGCTTGGTGAAAAAAAAAATTGACATATTTTTTTCACCAAGCTAAGGTAGAAAATAGTAGAGCCTCTTATATGTTACAAGTGCATCTTATAAGTTACTTCATTATAAAAAGAACCTCATTCCTAAAATATTTATCAATGATCAGGTCAATGTATTAATTTATGTTCTGACAGATTTAATAGCTCATTTTGTTGGTATTTTTTTTTTTGCTCTCTCAGTCAACACATCATCTTATTAGGTACCCTACTATCATGATATAATGTCTACACAATTTCAGGTATAATTGTAGTTATTACTTTAATATTCATTTTTAACAAGCTCAAGTCCCCAGCACAGTCATTAAAACAAACTAAATGGCAGGATTATGACATAGTATGAGTTACCTGATTATGCTTAATTAATTTACTTAGTAGAAAGGGGCATTTTATAAAATGTGCCTTTTATTTCAGGTAATTAACTAGAGGAGAAATCTGAAAGAATATTTTGGCTTTGGTAGATAAGTACAATAGAAATACCATTTACTAAAAACCTTTTCTTTCCCTACAGATATATTATGAAGGTAATATCTATTAACATAAAGGTAAGCTGACAGTTCTCTTATAAAGAAATACTTCTAGTTTGATGATGTCCTCCATCACTTGCTCAAAGGGACATAATTGCTCTTCTAACCTCTAGAGATAGAAAAATCTGTTCTTATAAGATTTAATTCTTTTTCCCCTCAAAAATTTTCCTGTTATAAAAGCATTATATATATTCATTGCCTTTTTTCTAAAAACAAACTACTGATGTTTCAGTATAAAATACAATGCTAAATAAAGAGATGTGATGAAAAAATTTTCAGTTTTAGAATTTCAATCTCTAAGCATAGAATGAAGTTACTTTCCAAATTCCAGGCATGCTGAAACAAAGTAAATGATGCTATTATGTGTATGGGCCTTTCACCTGACTTATTTTCTTATGCTTTCTTTCTGAAAACTTTAAAACTAGATTATTCAATTATGAAAAGAATATTCAATATGTTTTATTTATGTAAATTTTATGTGCAAATAACATAACAAGGAAAATGAGATTTATATGAAACAACAATAAATTTTAATAACCTACATATTTGGTGTATAAAAATGCTACTTTTTTAATATGTATCCTATGACTTCTGAATTTGTTCAGCAGTTTAAACAGCTTTTTTGTAGAGTATTTAGATTTTTATGTGTATAAAGTCATGTCTTCTGCAAACAAGGATAATTTAGTTTCTTCCTTTCCAACTTTGATGGCTTTTATTTCTTTCTCTTGTCTGATTGTTCGTGCTAAGACATCCAGTATTATATTAAATAGAAGTAGTGAAAGTGGACATCTTAGTCTTA